GAGGGGATTACTGTATGGGAAGTTAAGATGTGACTTTTACGGAAGTTAAGACACTAACGGGGATCAACTTTACGGAGGTTCGACTGTACTTTTAAATCTGAATTTTTATATATACACATTTTAAGATATGATAAAAAAGCCTTTATTTTACCTTAATACACGTTGTAATTAACAAGTCAAAAGCAAATCTTTTTTTATAAAGCATGTATTTCATGATGTAGAACAAAATATTCATCAAAATAATGAGATGTGACAACAGAGTACCCTACAGGATTAATAACTTGTGAACAGAATATTTATATAAATGAAAAGATACAAAGGTTATATGCGGCTTCGCATATAACTATAGACATAGGAATATGAGGGGACAGAGCATATTGTTGCGGGGGGGAAGGCAGTGCGGAACGGTGCGACGAGGTAACTTGCGAGATAACTTGATTGGTTGTTAGTGTCCGTGTGATACTCACATATATAATAGACCTATAATAGACCGATTTTTGCTATAGAGGGGGTGAACTGGGTACTAACCCTGCCGCAAATTCCCATAGGTATTCCATATGGGACCATAAAGGTCCAGTGAAGGACCATGAAGGTTCCATGAAGGACCATAAAGGTCCTGTGAAGAACCATAAAGGTCCTGTGAAGGACCATGAAGGTTCTACGTAAGATCGTAATAGCCCCATATGGGACCGTAACAGTCCCATATAAAAATGTATACATATAGGTAACACACATAGGGCAAGAATATTAATACATAGGACTCATATAGGACAGTATGAATTCGACATCGGTATGAGATGGGTATGAATATGGTGTGAGTATACTATGGAATGGGATGAATTATTTAAGCACTGAATAAATACCGGCTAATAATATAATTTGTTACAAACATTGAGTGGTTTAATAATTTTTATAATGCTATTTTGATCTCTATTGCATTCTGAAAATGTATACTATATGTATTATTTTATGAAAAATATAGATATTTACATTTTTTACATTATTTTTTTATTTGTATTTATTTATGTTTTTTACTATTAATTACAATTTAAAAAAATTAAGAGATAATTAATAGATTTAATTAATAACAAATAATTTATAAAAGTAATGCAATAATTGATTATACCTTATATAGGCAATAAAAAGCATTGTATATCGGTACTTCGAAGTGGTATGACGGACAAGATGCGAGACTCATAATCCAGCGATCCAGGTTCAAAACCCACCATTGCAACTTGAAAAAAATTATAATAAAAATATATTTAAAAATTATGAGTGTTTGATAAAAGTTATTTGAAGTTTATAAATACTTGTTGAAAAATGATAATAAGTGAAAAAAAAGTTCTTATTTTAATTATTTTTAAAATTTTTTTACTAAAAA